CGTTCCGCTTTTGGCTCGGGGGTGGTTGTTGCTACGGATCGGGATTTGCACCGCCACCGGTGGTACGAACCCAGCCAGGGAATAGGGGTCTTTTCTGGGGGCTTAACATACACACTCCACCCCCGGTAGGCGGAGTGTACCGCCTACGAGCTACCCCCACCCGCTGCACTGATACGCGATATCAGCGAACACTTGTTGCTCCGACGAGCGTAGAACGACGAAGTGCCGTTTCTCTGCCCCCCTTTCACCCTTCCACGGTCGCGATTTTTCACGTGCTGATTTTTCCGCCTCCCTCTCCGCGCGCAGCATACGTGTACCCCCTGCACTCTATCCATTCTCCGCGAATCTAATTCGACAGGATAATATTCCATTGTCAAAAACGAGTTCACTGCATGATAGCGAACGAAATTAATTCATTATTCTGTAGCGAACGTTGTTATAAACAATCACGCGTATAAAATTGGGAATGTGTATACAAAAGTTCTGTGAAAGAATATACTGCAATAATTTTCAAACTGCAGATAATATATTTACTATAAAATTTGCTATAAAAAAATTCGTGACTTGCTTTATAATTACTATTGCGATCAAGATTGGAATTGTTATTACTATTTAGATTATTACGTATGTTACAAAACACTTCTTGCTACTCGGAGATGCAATAAAATAACCTGAGCATTGCTTTTTTCTATTCTTTCATTATATATTTTCTGTTTTACTAATCTTTACTAGTATTTCACACGCTTTATTTACTTTCAGCTATACATTTCGATACTATTCTTTTGGTGCCGCGAATTTGACTTTAAACCTATCTTTTATGGTCATACTTTTACGAAAAGCTTATTTATAGTTATAGATTCATTTTGCGAGACAGTAATAACTTTCTGTCTCGCAAAATAAATCTAGGTCATTCTCGTAAACTCAGTTTGTGAAGCTGGATTGCGAGCGCAGCTTGAAACTGGGATTTTTCCGAGAGAAGTTAATAAACCGGGTACGTTCCTCGTTTTGTTACAGGCAGTGCGGTGGCTGCAGCCGACACCATTTCCGCGCCGTGGACCCCCGCGAGTTCCGGGCCGCCGCCCGACGCCAACGGCTCCGGCTCGGATACGAAGAACCTCGACGTTGGCGAAATTAGCGATGTAAGTCAACTGTGCCGTCGCCAATTAAGGACGACTGCGAGCGTAGTCTCAGTGCCCTTTTTATTTCAATTAACTCGCCGACCCGAGTTTGACGGGACGAGCTTTCCTGCGGCTCGCATTTACTTATATCACGGAAGTACACAACGCTTAAACTTTCGTAATAGAGACGACATTTATCGTTATTCTCTTGGTATTATTGTACGCAAAAATTTCGGCTGATTACAATAAATAAAATTTCTCGTTGTAAGATGTAGATGTAGTTGTTACTTGGTTTAATATTTGCGAAGCCGCTAAAAATTGATAAAAAATGATTAAAATTTTTTGTCAGTTTTTGATGAGTTCTTTCATTAATATTACGTAGTATACAAAATTTATAAAAAAGAATGTTAACAAGTCCTTATCAATTTATGTCGTATCAACACCAAATTCTCTCCCAAGTGCCATAGTATATCCCGAAGATTTTTTTGCGTTGAATATGATGCCATTATCAGAATTTATGTAGCACGTTAGGATTTTTAATAGATTAAAGTAAAATGGACCAGAAACATCTTTTTTTGCCCATTTCACTCCAATTTGCTCAAAATCCTCTGACGTTCTATATAAATTCTGACAACGACATCATGTTGAACGCGAAAAAATCTTTGGAGTCTGTACTATATGTATACACCTCGGATAGAGAAAAGTGATATTTTGTCGAACTGTATGATTCAATTTTGTTGTTGATACATAATACGCGTTTGCATAATTTTTAAAAATTATTCTAATAATTTCTTTTTTAACACACAACACACATATTGAATTGTTGTGATTCTCTTTCTTGTTTTGTTCTCATCTAATGTTACGTTTAGCAAAGAAAGCAACTTGGCAATTGTTGTAAAATTTTTTAATATGATTGTTTATACATTTATTGTTCCCCAATGAGGAACTAATAGTAAGATCAATCATATTAAAGAATTTTACAATAATTACAAAGTTGCTTTCTGTGCTAAACGGAGCCAGTCAGCAATCTTCAATCTCATTTTATGCTACTATAAGCGAGCATAATCACATTCCGCATTTTCGAAATATTATACTTTTAAATTTGACAAAGAAAAAGTTATTTCAAAATGTATAATACAGAATGATCTTAAAATTATTATAGAGAGTTTATAAGACATTTTATATATTGCTAAATTGAAATTTAATGATTTAAGTTGGGGAATTTGGGGGGATTATTAATTTCAGATTTGATTGCGTTGAAAGTCCGACAACCATATCGGCACGCAATTATCATTTCTGAAAATTAATTCATTTAAATGAATTTACAATAGTTCAACATCTTAACGTTCTGACCGTTATGGCGCTTCTTAATTTAAAATTATTATGTTTAACATTAGCGATCTTTCAATCTTATTATTGTTAATGATAAAATTTATCATAATATTATTTTATAATCTTCGACGTAAATTATTACTAAATTTATTAATATTATGTTTGGTATATATTGACTAATGAAATTACATGATGTCGAAAGAAACTAGTCTTTTCAAACGAAGGACGTTGAAATTTTAATATTTCAATAAATTTTACGATTTCTATAAATTTTACGATTTAAGAATGAATCACTTTTGTGATTATTTTATATGGAAAACTAATTTACATTTTGAAATATATTCTACTATATAAGTAGAACAACATCGTGAATACTAAAATGAATATGAAAATGCACGGGATTATTTAAACGTTAATTCGTTAACTTTGGCACATGCAAATTGGATTTATTTGGGTCAGACGTACATAGCCACTTCAAAGCTGGACGTCGACTGTGCAATTTAATTCTCTGGCTTTCTCCTTGCCTTCTTTTGCGTATAATTTCTCCAACATGATGAAGACATTTAAACATTTTTTGTTTTTTTAATCATTTAATATTTATTATTTCTACTCATTTATTATGGAGAGTGAAAATAAAGTGCAAAATGTCTTTTTTGTTTTATGTACAATATATGTATATTCTCCGAAAACTCTCTATTCAGTCATACGCATACGATCGACTCATAATAGTAGAATTGATTTTTATAATTCTTGATTGATGCGAACGAGATCAAATCGAGGATTTTTTCGTACCATCTGGAGAGTTTTCCGTTTTGGATCGCGTGTCCAACGATATTATATATCGAACGTGGCGAACGTGACTAGGATTCTCAGAAGAGACAAGCCTGTTTCCTCGCACCCTTTCCGCACTTCTCGGTATCTAAACACTCAGGATAATCGTCCATTTCTCGGCACGAAGAAACGCGAGAATCACACGTTTCTCTTCGTGCGGCACGGAAGTTTCTGATTCGTTGAAATTCCAGTCCCAACGAAGTAGTACTTCTCGGACTACTGGATGTTTCCATGTATCGCGTATTCGCGCAACGTCGTCACCCTTCGAAGATACCCCTGCACACCGTGCGGATCTTGACGCGATGGACGAGCGAAAGAAAAACAGAAGAGGCGAGAACGCGAGACATTCTCTCGATTCGGCAAGAGAGAAGGAGAAAGGATCAGGTCCACTGACTCGGCCACGTTCCAGGCGTGGCTTCGCGGCTGTTGAAGATCCTTTGTTTCAGAGGGAGGAAGATCTCCGAGGTCCGACCACGTTCGCGATAGATGCGGCAGATAAATCGCGCGCGCGCACGGTCAGCGGTGGAATCAAAGATAAATGAACTTTTCTCGTGTCGAACGTGCTCAGGTCATCGAAATGCATCATGGCAAAGGCACCCTCCTGTGACGAACGTAATCGTGACGAATGAACGTGATGAATGTTTGCGCGAGAATCATAATTGAATTGCCTCAGAATGGAGCACGTTTTTGATCGGAAATTGATAGATGATAAGAACTCAAATTGGAATCGATAGCTGAACTTGCATTTGTGTCAATGCAAGTTTTCCAATATTTATAATTGTATTTACAGAATTGAATAAGTGATCGAAACTTTTATCGAATGTTAAAATTATATCTATTTTGTTATAATCTCTCATAAAGTTTGTTTTGAAAATATGATTTGATAATTATAATCAAACCCACTATTTAAAAAATATATAAAGAATTGTGGTGGGCTTAATCTGTTCTGTCATAAATCCATTTTGACACAAGAGCGTAAATTAATTTGTCATTTCATGAATAATAATTATTTGGAAATAAGGAAATAATTGCAATTTTAATTTAAAAATTAGTATGTCATGTCATGAACATACATTATTCTTTTATTATATTTATTATATTTATAGTTGACGAGATTACTGAGTGCTATTTTTTTCTGCGAAAGCCTAATTAAGATTAAGGACGCATAGCTGATACAATTGCAATCCGTCCTTTTCAGCCTATTCTAGATTAGGTGATCGTATTTTTCAGGACGAAAAGGACTTGTCGGCAGCGGACGCGGAGGGTGTGTGGTCGCCGGATATCGAACAGAGCTTCCAGGAAGCTCTTACCATATATCCGCCATGTGGTCGACGCAAAATCATCCTTTCCGACGAAGGGAAGATGTACGGTGAGTACCACATATATATCTCTATCTATATCACAAAAAGTTCTTTTGTGCTTCATGCACTCCCACGTATACATAAATGTGATAGTCACTCAATTGACAAGGTACGTCGATAAGAATGCTGGGTTAAATTAAATGGTAACATTAAAAAAAACAATGCATATTGTATATTATTTCACATAATATACTCACAAATATCAATCGTTACGATTCAGTTCCTAGAAGAATATAGCATTATTTATTAGAGAATATTGTTTTCTTGAAAAAAATTATCTCTGTAAATGTAGCTTTATTATTTTGATGTAGTTATTTTGAAATGAAAACATACGATATCAATTAAATGTAAAAAAAACTATGAGCATTATTACGTCAAATAGTAATCATTACTATTATAGTTTATTAAAACAACATGAGACTTTTAGAATTTTGAGAAGATAAGAAAAAAGAAGAGAAGAATGATTTTTAATCAATTTTTTAATTTCTATTGATTTATTTTCAAAATATGAACTTTCTGCGACTCGCGCGATATTATGATGAAATCAATTTAATACCTAATTAGCGAAATGCCTGTTACGGCCTTTTATCATTTTTTTAACAAATCATTTCTCGTAAAGCGTATCTCGCGATAAAGCTCTACATTCGACGTCACATTATGTCGAAGTAACGTTCCTAATGTCACCCGAAGGAAAGTCCAAGGAAAGAACGCTGTTTTCCATGTGATGATCACACCACCGACGCGCGATAGCAACCTCCTCCGCTCGCCGTCCTCCACGTACGCGATGACGGCGACGGAGAAACGTCCAGACGGGCGTCGTTATTGCTCCGGTGCTGAGGTCAGTCTACGTGACTGACCAGATATTGCTTGGTACGAGACCGGCGGTACCGCCGTGGCCACCGCCGTAAACCACCACCACCATTAACCGCCATGAACTCGCCACCGGAGCAATAACGTCTCGCCTTCCAAGGAGGAATATTCGCCCCTTTGACCGCCCCCGGCGAACCCTTACTTTTGTACCCTCTTTGTGCGCCTTTTGTATTAATTTTCTCGCTTTCTCGATGAATTCGCCGTCGTATACCTTTGCTTCTTCATGGAGAACGATAATGAATGCCATCGATTTGAGTTGGTATCAACGGAACACGACGGTAGACAGAGACAATAAAAATCATGATGAGCAAATTTACGATTTGCGTAAAACTAAGCTTTAAAGTGTCAAATTTCAGAGAAGTCGCATATTACAGATGTATTAATTACTTTACAATATTTGCAGCGCGTAAACAACGATATTTTTTAAAATTATACAATATTATAATTGATAAGAGTCTATATGAAGAAAAAATATAAGCAATACACTTCCAAAATATGTCATCAACGTTTTTATAGTTAAGATATTCTTTAAACTTAAACGAAAATAGAAATGTGCTCTATTGTTTTCCTTGGGCAAGTAAATTCTGAGCTAGTTGTCTTCATTATTAAAGGAGTTAAAAGTGTTAATTTTATGGTAATTTTATGGAGGTGGATACCTTGTGCCAACCTTGCTGTTATTCTCGAAAGGGCTGTAAACGAACCCTGAAATTGACTCCCAGTCCCTTCGCATCCGGGGATGCGACCGGATCGCTGCCACTTTTCTTCCATTCTTGCGTCTTGGTGGGCAAATTTTCCAGGCCGTTCGGCAGGAGGACGTAGGCCATATTCGCATGAATCCCATTCGTTAAGGCACAATGTCGCTTAATTTCCGAAAGCACTTGGCGCGCAAAGCCAAAGGGTGGCAATTCAATCGCGATGCGCGCGTTCTATGAAAATGGAGTTTAATTCAAGCTCCTCCGTGTCGACGGAGCTGGTGGATGAAAACAGCAACAACGGCGACGACGGCGACGACGATGATGACGGCCATGATGTCGAAGCGACGTCGTTTCGATGTTACCCTTATTCTCGTTTCATTCTCACTTCGCGCGAATTATGATGGAATTACGATCGCTAAAATTTTAATAATCGTATAATGATAATAGTATTTCTCGAATTTTGAACTATTACAAATTTTAGCAATGAAACAATTACCTATGGAATATTTAATTAAATAGCTTTTTGATGAATTAGAATTTTAATAGCAAATCAAATAATTTATTATAGATAAATTCAAGAAAAAGATTATAAATTTAAGAAACTTTTTATACTTTTTAGAGGTTTAATTAATTAATACTATAGAATATTTAAAAAAATTATTGAATATAAATCTGTCAATAAATATCTCTCGTATATTTTACGATCCAAATGTAATTTTGCTGTATATATAAGTACATGTATACTTCTAAACTGTCTGAAAGATTTTTCCCTGTCTCGGGACATCTAATTAATTCGTAATATCTCAAGGGAGAGACAGAAGGAGACGAGAGCGATTTCACGAGTACAAAGTTACGTGGGGGTATCTCAATTGAAAATCGTTCTCGTTCACTATCTCGTCGCTATCGGAAAGTCTCGTACGGAGAAGTCGCTCTCACCGGGACGCAGTTTACCCCTCGGTAATTTCCCCTGGCATTGAGGAATGTGAAAGTCGGCGATTCTTCGCGTAGACGATGGAAGTGAGAGACAGAGAGAAAGATAGAGAGAAACGCGAGCGACGCGATATAAAATCGATCCTTCGACGTCACGAAAGACGAAGGAGCATCGCCGTCGACATCGTGCCGTCGACGAAGAGATGCAGTCGACCGTCCACCGGATGGAAACAAAGGATAACGAGGCGCGAAAATCGCTTAACGCGATTGGCCATCGATCCGACGGGAAACTTATCTCGCCCGTCGTTGCTCACTCGCCGAGCCAATAAAGGAGAGATCCCTCGGCCTTTCCGCGGGATTAAATATCTTGGGGCAATTTACCTCCTTCGATCTTTCCTCTCTGCACCTTCCTCCTCTTACCCATTCTTCTTCCTTTTTCTCTTACCCTTATCTAGACGCCGACGCCCAGATTTCACCGCGGAGAAACGATCGCCTCTCGTTCCCGAAGCGATACGAGAAAGAGAATCCAATCGATTTGAAATTTTTTCACGCGTAGCGCGCTGTATCGTTATTGATAATAATACGATGATTTAGTTTCGAGATCGTCGAGAAAAGCGTATCAGCTACAATCTTCTAGAATATTCTGGATACTTTAAGAAGCAGAGAAAAAATAAATTAATGTAGTGTAATAAGTATGAAATTATGAAATATAGATTAAAAATCTTCTATGCACAGAAAGGTAACTTTTTTATTGCGGACACTGTATACATACATGCTTTTTGAAGAACTAGCCTTTTATTTAACAGAATAGTTCTCAAGTATTCTAAAATATTTTAGAAATATTTCTCATGAATTTACGAAAAATAAAAATTTTATTTAATCACACACATCATATATCCGAGATGGCTAAGTTTCAAAGATATCCACTTATCTTTCCGCTCGTGATTGGTTAAAAAAATAATGTAAAAAATGAGCCTTTGAAACACAAAATTGTACCAAAATAACCTGAGTCATTTTCGAAATTTTTGGAAAAACGAATTTTTCTTTCATGTGTTTGTTTTGTTGTACATATTTCGTTTATCTTTAATTTTATTCTATGTCTTTTATTTTCAGTTATAGTGTATAATTTATACAGTTAATTACGTGATTATTGATAATGCATTTTTTCCTAAATATTATTTAATTTCTTGTAGTATCTTACAAAGTTTTTCACATAGAGGAATTAAATTTTTCGAATGGCTGTGGTTCATTACATCGGTATCACAGTGACCGATCTGCACACTATACAATTTTTAATTGAAGCGAGTCATAACGAAAAAGTATGAAGTATTACGATATGCGTGATTCGATCAATCGAAAATGAATTTTGGAGCGTTGTAATTCTTCTCTTTTTATTATTGCTAGTGAAGAATTTAGCGTTATCTGAAAATTATGTCTCTCATACAAATTAAAAAGAAATTACAACGAAACTAAAATATAAGTTGCACAGGATGTTCGCAGAAATTCTACTATACGAACGAAGGGACATATCGACTAAGGTCTGAAAAAAAGAGAATAAGGCTTGATAATTATTATTTGGTCAATAAAGCACGTTTGGACCGCCCCATAAAATTTCATGAGGACCTGTTAATTACCCTTGATGGGAACATCGCGCTAATATCTGAGGAACTGTTCGGGAGACTGAATTCCATCTCATAAACCTGTCGCACCTCGCAAAATAATCGGGCATTACTTATGAGATCGCCGTGATGTATGTACCAGGGAGTCTTTTTGGAAAAATATCGGGCTCGGCTTGCCGATGAAGGCGGTAACTTTTTGTGAGCGCAGTCGATAGTCTACGAACAATGTCAAAGTAGACTTCCTGTGTGTCGGAGCTGCGCGGATGTCGGAAGAGGAGAGGGAGAGAGCGGAAGGGCTCGATATTCTTTGTGGCCGTTTCAAGATGGAAAGGAGCTTCCTTTCTTTCTCTTTCTCTCTTTCTCTCTCTCTTTCTTCTTTCTTCTATCCGTTCCTTCGTCCAAGCGGAAAGAAACCGCATCGTTCCTTCCCATGAAGGACTAGGTCCTTCGTCCTTACGTCCACGGCATCCAATAAACCGGTAGAAATAAAAGGATCGCGATGAGCATCGTTCCTGTCCGTTGTCGGTGAATGCAACAAGGAGCGAGAACGTTTAGAGAAGCGTTTAGGTTCTTGCTTGTTCACCAGAAAAGAAAAACTGCCGCTGTGGTCTCCCGGAACACCTCTGAGCGGCTTCCATCGGTGTAACTTCTCTCCCCGTCGGTCAATGTTCCGGAACGAGCTCCGTAAATATAGTTTCTTGCAAATTTCCTCGCTTCCTCCCTCCCACTCTTCATCTCCTTCCTTGCCCTCCTGTTTGGTTCTCGCATCCATCCGCCCGCTGGCGTTTACCAAGTAATATTACACGATCAGCGCTTACGTCGCTCGTGCGAGCAGCTACGAGGAGCTTTTGAATACATTTTCCGATCTGTCGGACAAACTCAGGACCCACCAGG